TTTTTTTTTTTTGGTTTAGTATCCAACGTGGTCCACTCTTACAGGTCACTGTGGGTTAATGCGCTAAACTGCAAAGTCAGTTTGAACTGCAAGTTTGGTGGTTCAAGCTCACCAGTCACTCCTTGGAAACCCTCTACAAGGTCGCTATGGGTTGGAACCGACTCGACGGCACTTAACAACAACAACGGGAAATAGGCTCTATTTTACCATAGCTCTGAAACGCTGAGTTCAGCACTGAAACTCTGTGTGAGTCCTGGTGTGGAGCTGCAACATAATGCACTGGACAGAAAGGTCGGTTTGAACCACAACGTAAGCAGTTCTAACTCATGGAAACCTTAGACATAGTAGCTATGGATCAGAACCGACTCAAGGGCACTCAGAACAACTGAAACTCAGAGAAGACCAGTAAGTTGGCGGAGAGCCCACAGTCAGCCAAAGGTAGAGCTGGACTTTTGCACCTCTCACTTGTTCCCTAGATCTGGGGTCTGCCCTAAAATGGTCTCTATGAGTCGGAACCAACTCGAAGGCACTTAACAACAGCCCAGGGACGAAGGCTGCTCTCTGGCGCCTCCAATTGGTGGAAGGGGATATGGTGCTATGCCGCCGGATACCTGTACTGGTCAAAGTCCCGTGGCAGGGAGAGGGTCAAGCTAGGAGACCCTGCACTACTCCGCGCCCCTGAAGTTCGGAGCTCTATTCTGCCATCCTGGGCGGAGTCCAGTCCGAGTCTCGGCCCCTCGCCTGGTGCAGTCTTTCCAGTGCGGACCTCGGCGCTCTCGCCTTCTTTCTTCAGGGATAGGGATATCGTAGCCGTGTCTGCAGAGGGAGCACAGTTCCCGGCGCGCTTCCCATAGACAAAGCCGGGAACATGACAAAGTAGGGAACATGAGCACCGCGTCCGAGTGACGGCGTCGGTCCTACGCGCAAGGGGCGTTGCCTGCGGGTCACCCAGAGGACAGTGGGCAAGGAATTCCTGTGGTGGGGGTGAAGGCAGTGGGAGAAGTGGGGACAGAGAGGAGGAATGGAAAAGTGGGGATAGGGAGGAGGAACAGAGACGTGGCCGGGTACTCAAGGCCACAAGAGACCTTTCCCAACTTGTCCCTGCAGCCTGACCTTGCAGGGAAGACTCCTCGGCAGAGCTCTTAAGGGAGTCTGGCAGGTTGGGAGGGCGTCAGCTCCCCGCCAGCGGCCAGCTCCCAGCTGAGCCTTTGCGGGGAAGCGCAAGACCTGGCCCCTCCTGGCGCCACCCTGCCACCTTCCCTGTTCCAGACCCCTCGAATCCTGCGGTGCTCCGTTGAGTCCTCACTGGGCACAGCCGGTGCCGCGGACGCTGGCCAAGGAGGTAGGAGGGAGTGGGTACCCGGGCCGAGGAGCTCCGTGGAAACGTCCCAGCCCCTAAGTGCGCCCCCCAGCGCAATCCCCGTAGATGTCGGGAGCTCTCTTCCCGCCGCTGGAGGGCCCTGGTGCTCTGGACGCCCCGAGTGGTCACCCGCTCGTGTGCCAGTTGTGCCACGCGCAGTATGAGCGCCCGTGCCTGCTGGACTGTTTCCACGACTTCTGCGCTGGCTGCCTGAGGGGCCGCGCCGTCGACTGCCGCCTCACCTGCCCGCTGTGCAAGTGAGTAACCAAAAGTTCCAAAGAAACCACCGTCCAAGGCCGAGGTTGCCTCTGTTTGGATAGGGCCCAGGTGCTGGGAGGGCAAGGTACTGAGGAGGGCAGAGAGGGCAGTAGCTCTTGGCGCTGGAATTCTCAGGTGCCACACCACTTTACTGTGCACGGTAACTGAGGACCAGAAATAGCCATATTGGCCCAAGGTCTCCTACAGAAAGGGAGAGAGGAGTCTCAGCAGATTGCCACAAATTCCCAGTAACTCCAGTGTGGGTCTTAGAAGTCTTGGATGAACATTACCAACTGGCCTAGGTTACCAAGGAGTGACCCTAAATTTGCTCAATGCAATGAGAAGGCATCAAGGGGCAGTTGTGTCTTTGACACCTGGAGTCGCCCATTCAGCAAGCAGCCTGGCAGGATTCACCTGGAAAAGGGACAGAGGAGGGTATAGGAGCTAGGGACTAGGTTCCCACCAGACAGGCACTGGAGCTGGGATATTTATAGCAGAATCCAGGCCCCTGCAGGGCCCCCACCTCTCACTGCTATTTTTAGCTCCAGTCTGGAATGTGGGACTAAGTGGTGGGGAGCTGGGGGAAGGAGCTCCCTGACCCTGCTTCCATGCTTTCCACAGGCACCAGACTGTGGTGAAGGGTCCCAATGGCCTACCTCCTGCCGACCGGCTGCTGCAGTTCCTGGTGGACAGCTCAGGGGACGGTGGGGAGGCCGTGCATTGTGCTAATTGTGACCTGGAATGCAGCAAGCAGGCAGGGGCAGTTGTGCGGTGGGGGTGTGTGGGGGAGGTAGGGAGCAGCACAGTGCATGGCCAGCAGTCCTCAGTCCCAGTGGGTTTCTCCAATATGTCCCTAAGGCCCCCTAGGCCCAAATGTGGGGAGATGGAGATCCAGAATAGGTGACTGGAGTCAACAGCCAGATTGTGTCAGGGATTAAAATGGATTGATTATGGGTGAGCTCACTGGTCCCCAACTTTGGGTGGAGTTGTGAGCTGATACAGGAAGGGACAGGGCCAGCCATGGTGTGTGTGTGGGTGTGCTGATATCTAATATGTGTTCACAAGTACCTAAAGCCTAAAGGGAAGTAAGAACAGTGCTGTTGGGGAGGGATGTTCCTGCCCCTGAGCCTAGGAAAGACCAAAGAACCAGAGACCAGCTTCATGTTGGACTGGAAAGGAGGGGATAGGTACTCAGGAAGGGTGGGCCTGAAGGAGCACAGGCTAGAGTGTACTGATCAGTTGCTGAGAAACATGTGATCTTAGAGTATAATAAGAGGGTCTGGAAGCAGGGAGAAAGCCCAGGAGTTGAGATTTGCTATTAGAACCACCGTTGGAGTCAATGCCGTGATGAGATTCTCAGTCCTGGGTAAAGGAGCCCCAGACCTTCATTCCTGTTTTCCCTCCCCGGAGCCGTGACTCCAATCTCACAACTATTGAGGGCCCTAGAGTTGATAGCACTACATACTGCTCACGTTTATTGTAGGTAAAATGTTTTGCAAATGCAGTTTCTGCGTCCTCTCTCCCCCTGAGATTCCTCCCAAGTCCTTTCCAGCTATTTGCTCTTTACTGGACCTACTAACCTGAGGAGCCCCAGCTTCCTCATTTGTAAACTGGGTATATTAAAGCACTGCGAAACCGTTATTACACAAAACTGGAGCGTTTAGTGACCCGAAAAGTTTCATGGCAACGGCGGCGGTTCCGGCGCTGGCCAGGGTCTTCGGCACCGTAACCTGCTGAGCTTGCGCTCTACCCGCAGGACGCTGAGACCACGTACTTCTGCAACACGTGCGGGCAGCCGCTGTGTGCGCGCTGCCGCGACGAGACGCACCGGGCGCGCATGTTTGCGCGCCACGACATCGTGGCCCTGGGCCAGCGCAGCCGTGATGTACTCCCGAAGTGCAGTGAGTGCGGCGCAGCTGCGTGCGGGGACTGGGTGCTTAGGGAGGAGGTGGAGAAGAGGGTACCGATGGGATAGCCCTGTCCGGAAACCAAGAGCATCATCCCGGCTGTAGCACTGCACGCTGAACCCTACATCATGTTTTCCACTGATAAGAAGTCGCTGCTATGCATCCGCTGCTTCCGGGACATGCAGGGGTAGGTAGAGAGGGCGGGAGGGGAGGATGCTGGAGGCCGCGGCGAACCAGGCTCACTCCAGGCTTCCCACAGGGAGAGCCGGGCCCACTGTGTGGACTTGGAGTCTGCGTACGTGCAGGGCTGCGAGCGGTTGGAGCAGGCGGTGCTGGTGAGCGCCATGGGAGGAGGCGCGCCGGGACAGGGTGGGGGCGATGCCACCGGGCTGAGACTGCCCTGTTCCCAGGCAGTGAAGGCGCTGCAGACGGCCACGCGGGAGGCCATTGCGCTGTTGCAGGTCATGGTGGAAGAGGTGAGGCGTAGTGCAGCCGATGAGGAGGCCGCCATCCACGCCCTCTTTGGCAGCATGCAGGTGAGGGCCAGGAGACTGCAGCAGTATGCCATGATGGATGCCCAGGACACCCATAAAGCAGTCCTAGTGCCCTCCCCCGCAGAGTGACACTTTTACAGGGTAGCAGGCATTGGACAACTTTTCAGCAAGAGTTACTTGGCGTTGCCAGTAGTATTCCAGGGGAAGCCACCTGGGCTGGTGTTGCTGAAGGTGATGGGGAACCAGGAAAGGCTTTGTTGATGAATTGAGTTTGATGGTGAGGGCACAGGGCTATGAGGCAGCATTCAGGAAGGCCGGCTGCTGGCCCTGCCAGCAGGGCTGGTAGGTTAGGGAGCTAAGAAGCTGGCTGGTATCTAGGTGGGTGGTATCTAGGCAGTGTGCCTCAGCAGTGAACCCTCTCCCCAGGACAAACTGGCCGAGAGGAAAGTGCTATTGCTGCAGGCTGTGCAGAGGTGAGTGGTGGTGGGTCTCCATGTCTCTATCCTTTGGCTTCTGTACCCCCTAGACCTGGCCTTGAGGGAGCAAGACACTGTGTGTCCACCCTGCTGCTGAGGGCAGCGTGGCTCAGGATGATAGAAGGGTGGCAGGGAGGACATATAAAGCTGCCCACAACTCACCCCAGGCTGTGAGCAATGGCATTGCCCAGTTTGGAGGTCCCACTGGGTGGGGGTCTCCAGCCTTGCCTTTGAAGATGTGGCTGCCTGACCCTTCCCCAGCCAGTATGAAGAGAAGGACAAGGCCTTCAAGGAGCAGCTCACCCACTTAGCTACCCTGCTTCCCACTCTGCAGGTAAGGGGGTACAGTTGGGAAGGGGAGTATGGACTCCCTCCTGGACCAGACACTGAGCATCCGCCCGTCTGTAGGTTCATCTGGTCATCTGCTCCTCCTTCCTCAGCTTGGCCAACAAGGCCGAGTTCCTGGACCTGGGCTACGTGAGTCTCCCCAGCTCCTGTGGAGTTCTCCTTCATTCCCCCCACCTCCTCCTGCCCCAGATACCTCAGGGTGTGGTGGCCTGCCATGGGGAGGCTGCACCAGGGGCATCAGGGCTCACCTGCCCTCCTCTAGGTCATCACTTACTAGCTTTTAAGACAGCCTTGCTTGGAAGGGATACAAATTGTGGCTCCTCCCAAATCCAGTATGTACTTGAGCCTGGTGCGGTCCTTTCCTGGGGATCCACTGGAGTGGAGGTGAACCGAGTGCCCCTTTGGCTCTGCAGGAGCTGATGGCCAGGCTGCAGGGCATTGTCACCAGACCACATCGCCTAAGGCCAGCGCAGAGCAGCAAGGTGCAAGGGTGGCCCAGGCAGGGATTGGGTGCCGACTGGCTGGGCGGGGTCTCCTGATGCCCGGTTCTACCACTCAGATCACCAGTGACCACCGTGCCGAGTTTGCACGCTGTCTGGAGCCGCTGCTGCTGCTGGGGTCTCGTCGGGCGACTGTGGGCACAGGCTGCAGCACTGGCACGTGAGCATGAGCACCCTCCGGGCAGGGGACCACCAGGGTGGTGGGTACAGGATCCGGCCAGAGCAGGCCACCCTGGCCGGACACCAGCCCAGTGTTCCTTGCATGGTGTCTGGACTTGGATGGCCACCACAGGGAAGGGTGAGTCTTCAGAGCACAAAACAGCTCGACCCTAGCCAATGCAGACCTTAAGCAGAGTTCAATTATGGAAGGATGAAGGGGATGTCCACTAAAGGCCACTTGAGCCTCCCCCACCCTGCCTGAGGCTCTTGGAGCCTGAGGGAAGGGGCAGCTTAGAAGTGGGGCTTGGACAGGTGGCAGTCTGGTTAGCCTGAAGCGTGGGGAGGGGTCTGAGCCAGAGGACTGGAAGAAATGCCTACATAGCATTTTTGTGCCCAAGGCAAGTCAAGTCCCCAGAAACCAGGTCAAGAGAGACAGGATGTCAGGCCATATTTCCATGACCCAGAATGTAAGTGAGCAAGCTAACGAGTGCCTGATTAAATGCCTGATCTCCTCCAGACTGGCTCTGTCACATCCTGCTGAATTCGCCCTTTTAGAAAATACCCAAGGCTTACAGAATTGGTCTTGGGTGTGGCATTAGCCCCAGCACTTTTCAGAGCCCCTAGGTAATCCAGGCCATTGGCTCAGGCCTGGGATAGGGGAGGGCCTCCAGCCTCCTACATCTGTGTTCACTCTGGCTCTCTCTCCAGGCTGGCAGGGGCCTCAGGCCCCAAGGTGTTGATGGGGCCTGGCTGTCCCTCCCCAGGGGGGAAGATATTGAGGTCACCTGTCCAGAAGCCCACACTGCACCGGTCCATCAGCACCAAGGTGCTCCTGGCTGAGAGCGAGACCACACCCTTCACGGAGCATTGCCGTCACTATGAGGACTCCTACCGGGTGAGGAGAGCCCACTGTGGTGTCCTAAAATCCCAGGTCTCCCTCACCTAGGTGCTGTGGTGCTCACAGACAACCTGATTGGTTAGATATAGAGCTGGCCTCCCACTCTCCTAAAGCCCTGCAGCCAGCCTGCAGTGACCACATGCTCTGCCACTGCCTCTCTCCATGCAGAGTCTACAGTTGGAGATCCAGAACCTGAAGGACCAGGTCCAGGAGTTGCACCGGGACCTCACCAAGCACCACTCGCTCATTAAAGCCGAGATCATGGCAGACATCCTCCACAAGTCCCTGCAGGTGGATACACAGATCACCTCACAGTGTGCCTCCGTGGAAGCCATGAGGACAGTCTTCGAGGAGGTAGCCCTCCTGAGGAATCTAGTCCAGTTGTGCTATGACATGCCTCCAACTTCCAATGCCAGGATAGACATGGGCAACCCCACCACTGGAAAGGGGAGGAGACCCTTGGCCTGGTGCCCATAAAGCTCTCGTGCAGCATGTATAAGACCCTGGGTCTGACTCGGGAGTGCCAAGCGACTCTGAGTAGCTAGAGGACAGAAAAGCCACCAATGGAAATTCCAACTCACTGCCCATCCAACGTCCAACTAACTTTCTCTTTCAGATTTGGGAGGAGTCCTACCAGCGTGTGGCTAACGAGCAAGAGATTTATGAAGGTTCCTAAGCTCCTGAATGAATCCCATGTCCCAAGCTAACCCCCACATATCCAGGGAAGGAAGTCAGAACAAACCACTAACTAATGCAAGTCTGATCTTGCTGCACAACACCTTACGGGCCCCCAAATGATGCATCTAAGGTTAGGACTCAGTGAATTCAATGCCCCGAGTGCCTTGCTCTTTCATAGGTAATCATGGAAACAGCTGGGATGTTTGGGTGGTGCCTGGCTTGATGGTAAGAATCCAAAGTGAAGTCAACAGGACCTAACTCCTTGGCTTTGGTCCCCACAGCCCAGCTCCATGACCTTCTCCAGCTCAAACAAGAGAATGCCTACCTGACCACCATCACCAAGCAGATTACTCCATATGTTCGTTCCATTGCCAAGGTGAAGGAGAGGCTGGAGCCCAGGTGAGACAAGGGATGTTTCCCAGTAGAGCTGAGTCCCCTCAGAATGTATATTCATGAAAGGTATCATGTATTCAAAACTCATTTCAGGGGAGTCCCTGGGTGAAATCATAAGGGATGGCTCCAGACATCTAGGAGAGCAAGGGGCTGGATATCTGGCAAAAACACAGAGTGGATTTCTGCTTCCAGATACACTATAAGCCCACTTCCAGCCTTCAGAAGTAGGTCAAAGCAGAAGACACTTCTTGAGGTGTAATGAGGGTCCTCAGCTGATCCAGGAAGTAGGACACAGAAAAGGGAACAGGGATTTCATCTGCACGTGGACAATGTAAACAAATAAGTCTTAGAAGAAATACAACGGGAATACTCCTTAGAAGGAAGGATGGTGAGACTCCACCTTGCTTACTTTGGATAAGTCATCAGGTAAGACCAATCGCTAGAGGAGAACTTCATGTTTGGTAAAGTAGAGGCTCAGTGAAAGTGAAGAAAACTCCCAATGAGATGGCTGACACAATAGTTTCAACAATGGGCTCAAACATGTCAAAGATGATGGAGATGGCATCATGTTTTGTTCTGTTATACATACGTAAGGTCATTGTGAGTCAGAGCTGACTTGACAGCTAATAACAAGGAGGTAAGCAAGGTCTAGACAAGAATCTGTACTAGGCTTTCTCATCACTATGGTCCAGGGACAGAGGGCGTCTTAGTGGCAAGTCTTCAATGTGTCTGTCTCAGGATGAGACAGGAGAGGAAAGTAAGAATCCAAAGTGAAGCCTATCTTTTTGGTTTTGGTCCCCACATCCCAGCTCCTGTGTTAGAGCTCCTGTTTTCACTTTCATAGTTTGGTGGAACCCATCCCCCAGTAGCATCTGGAAAAAGGATGCATAAAAGGTACATTGTTTGGGGACAGTGTAAGTCTGAAAAAGCCTTTATTCTACCTTCACATTTGACCGATAGTTTCACTGGGTATTAAATTCTTCAGAATTTTGAAGTCATTGCTTTATTATCTTCTAGCTTCCAAGGATGTTTTTGAGAAATCTGAAGGCACTCTGATTCCTAATTCTTAGAATGTGGCTTGTAGAATTATTCTCTCTGGGTGCTTGTAGGATCTTCTCTTTGCTTGCAGTGTTTTGAAATTTCGCATTGGTAATGGTCTATATTCATCTATTATGTTGGAGACTGGTAGGTGCTTTCAACCTAGAAATTCACATTCTTTAGTTTTGGTGTATATAGTTTTTTGGAGCTAATTGTTTCTTCACATTTTCTCTTCCCTCCTGGGCTTTTATCTTTCCTGTCCAATTTTCCATCTCTGTTTTTTACTGTTCCTTCTGGGAGGCTTCCTTACTTTATAATTCAGCCCTTCTATTGTTCAATTCTGCTGTGTTTTTTTTATTGCTTTAATTCTGTGATACTTAAATTTCCTTTTCGTACTTATAGTTCTTTTCTCAAAGATTCTCCGGTGGCTCAGTGGTTAAGTTGCATGGCTGTTCACCAAAAGGTTGGGATTCCACACTACCAAGTGCTCCCTGGGAAAAAGATGTGGCAGGAATCTACTTTCCATAAAGGTGACAGCCTTGGATACCCTATGGGAGAGTTTTAGTCTTTCCTATAGGGGAGCTATGAGGAAGAATCAATGGATTTGTTGTTTTCTTTTCTCATATTGTCATTTTAGTTTCATGGGCACATTATCTGTGCTCTATGATGCTATTGGAGTCCTGGTGTGCTGTAGGATAAGTACTGTACTGTTGTTGTTGTTGTTAGGTGCCATCGAGTCGGTACTGACTCATAGTGACCCTATGCACAACAGAACAAAACACTGCCTGGTCCTGGGTCAGCCTCACAATTGTTACCACACTTGAGCCCATTGATGCTGCCATATTGCCAATCCATCTCACTGGGAGTCTTCCTCTTTTTCTCTGACCCTCCACCTTACCAAACATGATATCCTTCTCCAGTGACTGGTCCCTCCTGACAATATGTCCGAAGTACGAGAGATGAATTTTGGCCATCTTGACCTCCAAGGAGCACTCTGGCTGCACTTCTTCCAACACCGATCTGTTGGTTCTTTTGGCAGCCCATGGCACTTTCAATATTCTCCTCCAACACCGTAAATGAAAAGCATCAATTCTTCAGCGGTCTTCCTTATTCACTGTACAGCTTTCATATGCATATGAGGTTATTGAAAATACCTTGGCCTGGGTCAGGCGCACCTTAGTCTTCAAGCTGACATCTTTGCTCTTCAATACTTTGAAAAGGTCTTGTGCAGAAGATTTGCCCAATGCAATACATCGTTTGATTTCTTGACTGTTGCTTCCATGAATGTTGATAGTTAATCCAAGAAGAATGAAGTCCTTGACAACTTCAATCTTTTCTCCATTGATAAGAATATTGTTTATTGGTCCAGTGGTGAGGATTTTTGTTTTCTTTACACTGAAATACATACCGAAGGCTGTAGTCTTTGATCTTCATCAGTTAAGTATTTTAAGTCCTCTTCCCTTTCAGCAAGCAAGTGTGTGTTACAGCACTGTACTCCGAACCATAAAGTCAGGGGTCCAAACCCACCAGCTGCTCCTCAGAAGTGAAATAACAATAACAACATTAAGCTATTGACAGTTTTAGTGGTTTTTTTTGTTTTCTTTTTGGAAGTTTAATGATGCAATGATTAAAGTTCTACTAAGTAGCGTATTGTCTGGTAGCGTAGTGGTTATGAATCTGGCTGCTAACCTCAGGGTCAGCAGTTTGAAACTACCAGCTGTTCTGCGGGAGAAAGATGAGGCTTTCTGCTCTTGTAAAGATTTCCAGCCTCAAAAACCCTGTACAGGGTCGCTATGAGTCGGAATCGACTCCACGGCAGTCCACCACCACCAAGGGTTCAAACCCACCAGTCATTCTGGAGAAGAAAGACGTGGCAGTCTGCTTCCATAAGGATTTGAAGCCTTGGAAACCATGCCAGGCCATTTTACTCTGTCCTTACGTTATCTTGATGGCAAGATTCCGCATTTGGATTCCGCCCCACCCCTCGCCCTCTTGCAGTCTCTGTTTACTCCAAGTAACTTTTGCTAGTTTACGTTCCTGGCCTTCCTTGTTAGAGACTTCTCTCAGATCTCAGGAAATCCTTGGAAGTCTTGCTCATGGAAGGAGGGGTGGGGGGTAATGGCAAAAAAAGTGGACTGGAAGCTTTGAGCACATGGATGATGCTCAATTGTAGGGGGAGTTGGAGGTGGGGAGGAGTCAGTATCAATTTTAGTCCTTTTAGGCCAGTTTGTTTCCTGGGAGGTTACTTACTATATGGAGTATTTGGCGACATACTTCATTTTCTGATTTACAGTACAGTTTTCAACTGTGTGTTTTACTCTTTCCGGAGACTACCTTTTAGACTTCTGCTGGGAGGTGGAGGGTGTTTGTCGAGGTAGAGAGAGCTTTACTTTCACCCTTCCTGCTGGCAGCTCCGGAGCCTTCTTAGGACTCTGGGATGAATTGGGTCATCCTCAGCACGTCCCTCTGCCAGCAACAGGTTTCTCAACTCTGCTATATCAGTTACCACTTGTCCACAAGCTTTCTACTCCTGAACTTACGGCACTTTGCTGTCTGTGTGTGCTGCCTCAGTGAGAAGCAAGAAGCAGCACTGGCTGGCCACACTGCCTTTGCCGAGAAATGGCAGGAAGGCAGAGGTCTGGGGCCAGGAGAGAGTGAACCCTGCTCCTCTGCCTGGCTGCATTTTCCATTTGTCTGTAGTGGTTGCCTCTGCTTAGGCACCTCTGATTCCTGCTCAACTCGCCGGGCCCCACCTTCTACCGAAGGTGCTCTATCTAGTCTGCCCATCAGCCACCACCCAGCCCAGCCCCAGCCACCTCACTTGCTCACACTCCAGCCTCTGAGATACCCACCCCCTGCTTCCCATCTCCCTCTCCACCCATTCCTCCCTAGTCTCCCGCTTGACCTCCTCAGCTCAACAACATGCAAGTATCAGTTTGTCCCAGAGCTCAGTCCGAGGCCCTCTGCTCATCCTACACGTCCTCAAGTGACTTCATCTGATCCTCTGGCTCCAAAGCCCCAGGTGCATGCAGACGACACCCATCCCTGTCGCTGTCACAGGAAATCTCCTGAGCCCAGAACTCATCACCTACTGCCTCCCAGTGTCTGTTTGGAAATCTTACAGGCATCTCGAGTTCACAGTGCCCAGAAAGAACTCTTGATTTCCTCTCTGGAGACGTGCAGCTTCCGCCTCCCTCGGCTCTGTGAGTGACACCATCATTCTCCTGATGCTCCAGTGAAAAGCCTGGGGGACATCCCGGATTCCTGACTTCCCTGCCTCCATGTCCAACCCATCCCATAATGCTGTTGACTGTACTCCATCTCAGCCCACCCAGCTTGGTCTCCACGGTTGCCCCCCCCAACTCCAAGTCACCATCATCTGCCCTCCTGGCCCCCTCGAGTATGTCGCACAGCCAGTGACTGCTTAAAACCCTATGGTTCCTCATGGATAAACCTGGAAAAACATCATGATGATGGAAGTGAAGTCAGCCACAAAATGACAGCTACTGTATAATCTCATTTACATGAGCTAGGCAAATATATAGAAATCAAGTATGATGAGTGGGAGGGTGCGAGGGAGAGGGAAATTTGCATAGTGGGCACTGAGTTTATGTTCATGGTGGTGGAACAATTTGAAGAGGGATAGTGAGAATGGTTGTTCAGCTTGAAGAATGGAATCATGGTCACTGGGATTGTACATGTAGAAAGTTGGGTGTTTGGGGTCTTGTTTTGCTTTAACTTTTTATTGTGAATTGGGTGAAGGTTTACAGAGCCAATCAGTTTTCCATTCAATTCAAACACATTTTGCCTCTAATTGCAGTTCTCCCGACATACCTTCACTTATTCTACTGCCTCCCTATGTTTCTTGTTTTCATTTTACTTTCTTCCTATCCCTTCTTGCTTTCTGAACTCTGTCCAAACGCTGCTCTTTTGCTCTCGAGTCGTTATTTTAAGGAGTATGTACCTCTGTTGTGTTATTAACCATATAGACCAGTCTTGTTTGGCTGAACATTGAGTCCTGGGGGTGAGTTCAATTCCAGGCCTGAAGGGGGGGCTACAAGTCATAGTCTCAAAGCTTCCTTCCATTCATCTTTATCAGGATCTTTTTCTATGACTTTGAGTTTTGTTTCACCTTGCACTCCCACTTTCTCTAGGACCTTCTAATGTGATCTCTTTCAGAGCCATCAGTAGGGGTAGCTGGGTACCGTCTAGTTCCTTGGTCTCAGGCTTGTACAAGTTGAGGCTCATGTGGTCCATTAGTGTATTGGACCCATCGTTTCCATGGGCCTGTGATTTTCTTCACTCTCTTTCCTGTGGACAGGGAGAGACCAATAGTTGCACTTTAAATGGATCTTGTTATGCTTTTAAGACCCCAATCTACTTATATTTCACGCCAATTGATCTGGGTGGAATTAGTGTATGTTTTTTTTTTTGTATGTATTTTCGCCAGAATCAAAGCAAAGCAAAAATCCCTATGCTTCTCACATACCATGGTCTGACAGTCTGTTCATGGACCTTTTCTGCCCGTCTCTGACCACTGTGGTCCCCAAAACACCTTGTCATGATGGTCTTTCCGTTCCTCCAGAAAACTACCCTGGGTCCCCCACGGTGGTCTATGGCTTCAGGTTTTCAGGTGGATCCTCATCGACTCAGGTCTCCACGTGAATGTCAACACAGAGGCCTGCCCCAACCAGCCCACTTAGAGGTGCCCCTGCCACGCATCGTTACTCTCCACCACCTCATCTGCTTAGCTTCTTTCCAACCAACACTCGGTGGCTTGTCTCCCCTCAACCAGAAAAGGGTTCTGTGAGAGCAGGTCCCCAGTCTCTCTTACTAATGCCTGCAGCCCTGCTCCCTGGACCTCAGTAAAAACTTGAAGACTGAATGACGTGCTAGGCAGGCCCTTGAGTGTGTGCTGAAGTTTGTTGCTTGTACAGAGTGATCTTGGAACACCCAGGGGACTGGCCCTGCTGCCTCCATCGTGCTCAGTCTCTGACTTTCTCCTACGCAGGTTTCAAGCCCCTGCTGATGAACAGTCAGAGAATCTACAAAGTATGTTTGAGGACAGCATGAATGGTGAGACCCAGGCCAGGTAAATCAAGTCCTTCCAACTGACAGTGGGCAAATGACTTCATTACCGATAAACATGGAAGACAGAGAATAAGGGTTTTCTTATTGGTCATGACCAGTTCCATGACCCTAGTTGGGCCTCAGTTTGTAAAACAACTGAGTGGTGAGTTTAACCTGGACCAGTGACGTTAAACAAGCATAAGACAGATATGACTTTAGTAGAAATGGCCGTTTTATATGGGAGCCCCGACTAACACCTACATCACTCACATGGCAGTAAACACTACCACTGGCTCTTAGACACTTACAGCAGCTGTCTCTAATTCACTGAAATGAGAAAAAGTGTCTGAGGACTGTTTCTTGGTGTGAGAACATTACTATTCATTGGAATCAGGGTTTGTCAGAAGACAGCTTGCCAGAGGAGGTAAAAACGTGCAGTCAGAGATACATCACTGTAGCAGGCTGTTCTGTTAGTATTTTCCTCTCTGTGAAACGTGTTCATTGTTGGTGGAGAAGAGAACTAAAGCATGTCAGAGCTACAAGAGTCTACCTGACATGGAGCAGCCTGCTAAATTGTCCAAAGCCACAATTTAGCAGAAACTAGTGTTCTAGTGTTTTTAAAGTGTTGGAGAGCAAAGATGTCAGCTTGAGGACTAAGGTGCACCTGACCCAAGCCATGGTATTTTTAATAACCCCATATGCATGTGAATAAGGATAGTGAATAAGGACGACCATAGAAGAATTGATGCCTTTGAGTTATGGTGTTGGAGGAAAATATTGAAAGTGCCATGGGCTGCCAAAAGAACCAATAGATCTGTGTTGAAAGAAGTACAGCCAGACTGCTCCTTGGAGGCCAGGATGGCCAAACTTCATCTCTATAACTTCAGACATGTTGTCAGGAGAAACCAGTCACTGGAGAAGGGTGTCATGTTGGGTAAGGTGGAGGGTCAGAGAAAAAGAGGAAGACCCCCAGTGAGATGGATTGGCTAAGTGGCAGCATCAATGGGCTCAAGCGTGGCAATGATGGTGAGGTTAGCCCAGGATCGGTTAGTGTTTCGTTCTGTTGTACATAAGGTCACTATGAGTCAGTACCGACTAACAACAGCAACAGTGTTCTTCCAGAATGATGGCTGTTTAGTTTATATGCTTCAGGAGATGGTTAATTCAAAGCTTGATGGTCCCCCATGAGCCTCGGAAACAGCCTAAACGTGCCTGTTTGGGCATCTAAGAACCATGTCCTAGGGAGGGAACAGCTCTGTCAGTAGTAAGATTAAGAATCTCATTCTTGATGAGGGTTCTGGTTCTGAAAACTTGGGTCACCTACTGTTGCTAACCAGAAGGCTTTCCACTACTTGGGTATGCCTTGGTCCATGCGGACTGTAGCGCTAAGACACAGTGTTTCTTTAGCAATGATGCGGTGAGTGGCACTGAGAAGAGAGAGAAGACGTCTGAACCCAGAGGAAACAACCAGCCTCTGAGCAGCCTCACAGAAGACCATTATAGACCCAAACAGAAGAACGGGGGTGACATCCCCTCACGGAAAGAGCGCCTCGCTTAGCCAGTAAAGCTGGTCCCACGTGCATTGGCTGTTTTATAGCAGGCATGTACATCAAGACCAGAGGACATTTAAGAAACATTTTGTTCTTGTTATGGTTATAATATTTAGAGGATAGTCATTCATTCCCCAATAAAACTCAGGAATTATCTGATGGATTCTAACTTCAGATTGACTCTAGCATTAAGTTTAGCTTATCCCTGTGTTCACATAACATGAAATCTTGACCCTCATCATGGTGACTTGGGCATGGCAATGTTGGAAGAGCGAATATTCATATGAAACCAAAGGCATCTTCTTCTAATACACTCATTCGTCCAGCTGGTACCTTCAGTGTATGGTGCAGTGAATTCTTTAATGTCTCTTCCTTCTACCCTTAGTCTTTTTAACTCCCACCAAACAACTCTTACCCTGAAGAGTCTGAGTAAGAAAAGGTGGGAGAAGGTGCTCATCAGATGATGATTCAGTTGTGAATGATTGTTAACAGAGTTAATTATGATTGTAAAAACTTGGAACGCTTAACATGGGTATAAAATGAGGCATCTCTGACTACCATCAAGAAGAAAGAGTCAGGGGTGGAGTATGTTCTTTGGACCCCAAGACCCCTGTGCATTGATTCTTCTCCACCCGGGGACAGAAAGCTGTTGACACTGGAGGAATGGTAGAGGAGCGCAGAACCCAGAGCACAAGACAAGTGCTGAACTCCCTGACCTGAGGGAGTGCCTTTGGGCAGGAGGCTCATTTTGTGGAATGCTTCCAGGCACTAAATTGGGGAGCTAGAGTTGAATACCTTTGGGCTTATAGCAGAGTGGAGTGTCCTCTAGGCACTTCTCAGCAGCCCAAGAAGAGCTTTGTAAGATTGCCAAGGCAGAGAGAGGCTTGTCCTGTCTGGAAAAACTGGGTGCTGACCATTTCTGACCCTGAATTACAATCTGTTAGCTCCTCTAATAAAATCCCCATAATTGAGTCTGGTGTCTTGAGTTGTATGTGGCCACTGTAATGGATCATCAAAGCCAGGTGAGTAGAACGCTTTATGGATGGTTGGTGCCACATTTATGCACCATGTGTCCGTGTGCCAGGTCTGGTGGAGGGCAGTTCGTGTTGGCCCATCAGGTTTGACTGGCTTGTTTTGTATACCAAGCCTCCACCACCTCTGTGCAACACCTGCCCAGCCCCAGAGGGTTTTGGTTTCTCTGAAATCACTGTCTAGTCCACTGGGAAGTTGCAGTGACTCAGGAAAAGGAACCTTCCTTTAGGGCAGGGGTTGAGTTCAGAAAGCAGGGGAGTAGCTCTTGGCCAGGGTGCTCAATCAGAGCCAATCCCCGTAACAACTTCTGCTACTTTCTCCGAGCTAGTGTGACTCCTGTTGATCTTATATATTGGTATTACAGCATAATTTAGCACTAGCCATTTTCTAGTACTTTTTCATAATCCAGGCTCCTACCTGTGGGTTAATGTGCTGGACTGCAAAGTCAGTTTGAACCACAAGTTTGGTGGTTCAAGCTACCACTCACTCCTTGGATAACCCTATATAGGGTCACTATGGATTGGAACCAACTTGATGGCACTTAACAACATAGTATACTCTTTTATTGAACTTAATCCTTACAAAACTAGAGGGTTGTTAAGTGCTGTCAAGTCAGTTGTGACTCTTAATGACCCTGTATAGGATTTTCAAGGAGCAGCTAGTGGGTTTGAACTGCTGGCCTTGAGGTTTGAAATCCAGTGCTGATACTACAGTCCTAGACACATATTAGCTTGAGTGAAAAAAAATGCACTATCATTGAGTGTGATTCTGACTCATCGCAACCCTGTAGAACTGCCCCGTAGGATTTCTGAGACTGTAAATCTTTCTCCTGCAGAGCCCCTGGTGGTTTTGAACTGCTGACTTTTCAGTTAGTAGCACAACACTTAACCCAGAGTTTCTTAAGCTGAATGAAGCAGGCGGCAATGTGCTGTGAGAAGGAATTCAGCAAAAAAACACACAAAACAAAACAAAATGAAAGCCTATCCTGCATGACATAAAATTTTAGTTTTGGAGGTAAAATTATATACAGGTAGCTGCATTGTAAGCAAATATTCACCTTCACTCAGTGAATAACTTCTGAGCAGGGAAGGCCTCAGAGTACCGCAGGTCAACATTCAATACCTCCATCACTAGTTGCGGTGAAGTCCAACTCATGGTGAACCTATGTGTGTCAGAATAGAACTGCACTCCAGTGGGTTTTCAATGGCTGATTGTGTTGGAAGTAGACTGCCAGACCTGCCTTCTGAGGTGCTTCTGGGTAGACTAGAACATCTAACCTTTTGGTTATCAGCTGAGAACTTAACCATCTGTGCCATCCTGGGGCTCCAATGTTGCTGTACATGCTATTTCAGGTTAAGATTCTATTTCAGTGCCGTATGGACTTTTGCAGTAGGCTTAAGGGCAAAGGGAATTTACGGTTACACATTCATTAAATGGAGGAATTTAGAACTGAATTCAGCAGGAATACACCTGGCTTCTCTTGTCAGCTCTGGATGTTCCTAACCCCCCACATAATCACACTGTTGTTCATAGTGAAATCAAACAGTTTTTATTTAGTAATTGAAAGAATAATCAGTTATCTGCGAAAGGAAATCCAATTGAAAATATTTAAATAGTTCTGTATGTAAACAGAAAACTAGAATAATTCCTCCACTGAGTCCCCCTCCTTGCTGTGAAGGAAGTGCTCTTGAGAGTCAGTGCTTGAGACCACTTAGAATCATGGGGCCCTCTCACCCTATGCCCGGGTACCCAGCCGTTTCTAGCAGGGGGACACAGAGTTAAGCATTTTCCACTGTAACCAGGATGTCAAGGTCTCCTAACATTGCTAAGCTACAACACAAAGCAAAACACAGTGGGAGATCTCAGCTAAGGCAGTAAGAAAGTGCAGAGTACGGACAGTGACTTACTGTCCCCAGTATAGAGGGACTGCTACCAAAATGCGTGTGGCTGAGACCTTACGGAGCCTAAAATGTTAACCCGACTAGTTGAGGAGCATTTTTCCCTATCCTCTCAACCACTCAGATCATTAAACAGGAAGGCTTGATAAGGTTTGCTTTGTGGGCTAAAGAAGCCATTCACCCGGAGGGCAGTAGGATGTGTTTTCATCCGGGTAAAGGCTCACTACCTCTTTTCCATAGACAAATATTCTCAGCAACTGGATGACAGTCCTCGAGGAATCCTTCACCGTAGGCTGGGTCAAATTCACTTTATTCTGTGCCATGTATATTTCCCACTTAAGAATCTCTACCTTCAAACCCGCGCTGGGAACAGAAATCTCCTGACAGTGTCTTCATTTGAGGCAACTGGTGGCCTGGCCTTTGCAGTGAACCCCCCGGGAGCTGTTACCTCATTAACCTCATCCTCTGTGCGCACTGCTGCTGCCAGATTTATACAGTTAAAAATAACATGTGGGCACAGGATGAAAGTCAATCACCTGCCAATCCTGCCTTTTAATGTAGTTCACCTTTTACCACCCAGACATTGCTGACGTCTGCCCTGGGACAAGTGAGGGTGGGAAGGTCTTTGTACAGATCCCTGCCCATCACAATGCTTGTCACTCATGGTGTGACAGGAATAGCGTCTCATGGTGAAAGCATGAGGGTCTGCTTTCTAGGCTTGTGCAAGCACCAGGGCCTGGCAGGAAGGGGACTTTCTGGATTCTGGCATATGGAGGAGGCACGCATCACCAAATGCCAACAACACTGGTCTTGCTGTCCAGAGCCTGTTAGGAGCAGCTATTAAAAAGACAGCTTTGTGGGCCCCCAGTGGTTGGGAAGGCTGCTTCCAAACTTGCTAGATAACACTATGTTAGGACTTTGCTTCAAAGAGCTGGGGGTGACTGCTGGGAACCCAAGTGCACCCTCTCTTGAGCTTATAACCATGTGGAGTTTGCTTTGCTAAGCGTCATTTGGAGAAGAAGTATGTAGGACTGATTCAACCAGCTCAAGTCCCCAAACAGACTATGTGCATGTTCCTGTCCCAGCAGGGAGGGTTCATTCCAAAGAAACATGCAGCTGATGGCTCCTGCAAAGACCTCATCCAGTGTCCAGTCCAACTGTGAGACCAGAGTGAGGGCAGTGGCCTGGGTCTGTCTAGTTCTTCCACCACCAATCAACGAACCCGTAAACCTCTTTGGTATATAATAACAAGAAGATTAAACAATGAAATCTAGAAATGAGTAATATTCTGAGTTGGTACAATTCTCTTTTGAACATACGTTTTTAGATGTCTGGTACAGTTGGCCCAATGTCTTCTTTCATGTAGTTTTCACGTACCTCTTATACAGAATAGATTTCATCTATCATTCCTCTCATCTAAGTAATAAAAACATTTGACATTGTTCTTTTAAATCCTCACAACACCCCTGTGAGGTAGGTGGTATTGACCCCATTTTACAGATGGGGAGATGTAGGCACAGAAAGGTGAGGTGGCTCCTCGCAGGCCGCACAGTGTGGCACGCTGCCTTCACATTCATACTTCATCACTGCCACCGAGAAACTGAATGGGCAGGTCTCACATGGAGATCCAGTTCAGCATTTACTCCAGAACCAAACAAACCTCTCATCTCTTCAAGTTTAACATCTGACTCATAAAACAAACCACTCTCCCCCAAATTGGGGGGTGGGGTCTGAGGGGCAGGGGGCAGGGTGATACAGACACAAGTGGAGTGACTGGCTCTATTTAAGACTATTTTCATGAGTCAGTCTTCTTGAATGTTAGTTGTGTTTGCTCAAACCCCTTTGGGAAAAAGACAGTTTGAAACAGCATGAGAAACCATGGGATTTTGAGAACAAAATTTGAGAAAAAAAGAGATTTAAAGTGAAGCGCAAACGCAGAAGCAATGGTAAAATGAGAATAAAATCCCAACTAAATGGAGAGTGGTAGTTCTCAGCTGTTAACAATATCCTGCATGGGGTAGGCAGACATTCACTAAGCACTTGCTGGCTAAGGGGGAAAGGACACACCTGTCACCTAT